TTCTATGCTCAGACTGGAATTGGAATTCTTCCTACCTCCATCCCATATTACTGTTAGACCAATTTCAGTTGTGATCACGACAAAAAGCCCAGCTCTTGCAATCTCTATAGTATTATACTTCTTCGGGAGTGTGATCTCTACACCGTTCACTGTAACTTCCTTGTAACGCAGTAGATGTATTTTAACACTGCCGATGTCAACGTTGACCGACTTGGTACATGTGATACCATTGGTTCCACATGGTACATTCTCAGCCGTGACAGCAAATGCACCGCTGATTTCTTCCGTAAGTAGGTAGTTACACTCCCCCATGAAAGAAAACTGTTTTCCATCGAACGTGATGTAGTGAGGATCACCAGTAGCTGTACATAAACCTGTAATATTCAGAAATGTTCATGTTATTTGTCTTTTGATGGGATGCATTGATTCTGTTATTTCATTAACCTTTTCACCACCAGACTTTGTCGTCCAAATTTGCCTGCAACTATTTCTTAGATTCTTCAATATTTCTGGAAATGAACTCTAATTTTGGAGCCAACATATACAATTTAAGTTAATTTTCAGTGTTTACTCGAAAAATGTTGTTCCAATCTTCTGAAGGAAAGTGCAGACTATAAATGAGACTATTTCTTGAAGTTGTGATGAAAAGAAGGAACTGGTGGTGAAAAGGTTAAATTGTTGACAAACTGTTGATAGGTCTGACTGTTAGGTACCGGGATTGGGTAGCCAATCAGGTACAATATGCAAGTAGTTTCGTATTGACCTCATAATTTTAAGATGTTGCAGAAACCGTTTAAATTGTACCAAGTCCATGTTAACAGAATTCCACAGTGTACTTACCTGCACATTTCTGTGTTGTACACTCCCAGCTTCTTCCTTTACATTGGCTGTGGATACAAACATATTACAAACACTTAGCCCTGCTCTATTTTATATTCTTTTTTATGTTATCATTTGGTTTGGAAATAAATAACTTAAAAGATTCAATAATTAACTACTTACCATACATTGCAATCTTTGTCTATGATAGCCCCGGCTTCATAACGTTTGCCATTATGACGACATGGACATTGGTCGGGCTT